ATCTTTATCTTTATAAACTTTTTATTTTTTTGTTGTTTTATTACCCTATTCATCAATAGTGATTTCTTCAATAATATCATTACCATCTTTGTCTTTTGTTACTCTCTAAATTTTTATTATATTATATATACTTTAGCTACTTTTTGTTTTTTACCTTTTTCATCAACAAATTCTTCTTCAACATAATCATTTCCATTTTTATCTTTCTTTACTTTCATTTATTTAATCCTTATTTATTTTTTTCCATTCTCATCTATATATTCTTCTTATACTTCATATGTTTCTTCTCCATCTTTAGCTTAGACCTTCCTTACTTTTTTACCTGAACTGTCTTCAAACCATTCATTCAATTGTACTTAACGTCCATCCTTTGTAATAGGTTTTGTTGGAATCTTTATTTTAGCTCCTCCAATTGCAAATCCACCAAATTACTCTAAAAATTATTAAGTTTATTTAGATTATTAAATCATAATTGGTTTATCTCTAGCTCTTAATTCTTCACCTTATGCATTTACAACAACTTCCTCTTCTACTTCCATTTCTTCTTCTATCCATTCTCCTTAAGTGTTTTACCTTTTAACAAGTTTCATGACCTTTCTTGTGATTATTTTTTCTCCAGGATTTAAATATTCAGGATCAAACAAAGGATCATAAAAAGGTACTTTTGCTAATTTTTATTTTCTTGTTAATTCATCTTTTTTGACTTATCTAGTTATTGCAGAAATATCAGATCCACAAATTTATTTAAATATAGGATCTTTTAATAAATCATCTACTACCATTAATTCTTTCATCTCTTATAAATTTAATTTTTCATTAAAATCAAACCTCAATAGATTATCTAATTAATTCAAAATCAATTTCTTTTGATCTTCACTTATATTAGAATTTTAAACAAATAATCTAAACCTTTCTAAACTTCTATTATACTCTTTCTCTAAACCTGCAACATTATCTATAAGATTTTTTATTCTGAATTTCATCTTTATATTATCTTCAACTAATTTTCTTATTTTTTCTGAATCTGTTTTATTAATTACAGCTTATTATTCATTATTTGCCTTTTCTTTTGATTTCAATTACTCCTATAATTTTCTACTTTCTAAATTTGCTTTAGTTAATTGATTGTTTATATTGCTCAATTATTAAATGTATGCATCTTTTTCAATACCTAAATCTTTAACCTTTCTTTCTAATTATAAAATCTTGGATTCTCTTTCTGCTCCTTCTTTTCTATGTTACTACATCTTTTCTTAGAATTCAATTTCAATTTTCATTTTATCTGTCTAACTTGCCACTCCTTCCATATAAACTAATTATCCATTCTTCATTAATGCTCTACCTGCTTTAATATCTTATAATGCTTTTTCTTAAGCTTATTTCTAAACTCCTCTTATACTATCCATAAGTGTATTTTCTAAATTAAATATCTATTCTCTTTCCTTATTTTATTATTCCTCTATTTCTGCAGCCTCATCATCAATTTCATGTGTAATTCTTCGTTTTTTTCCTAAATCTTTCAACACTTCTTTTAAATTAGCTTATGCTTTTGATTCTCCAACAGCCATTAAATCAAGTTTTCTATTTTTTAAGAATTCAGCTATCTTCTAACTATCTTCATCTAAATCATCTTAAATATCCATTAATTCCTTTTGCTTTTTTATAAGATGATCTTGATTTCTAGCATTGTTCATATCTTCTCCAGTATCAGTCCATTTTTCTGCAAACACTTTCTTAACCATCTTCTTAACTACAGGTTACAGTTACACTATTTAATGAGCCATTTTATTAGTTTCTCTTTCTTCAGATTAATCAACAGATTTTCTTCTTGCTTATATCATATTTTTCTATAAACTTTCAAGCATTTTATCAGGTTGTACCTCAAAATTAGTATTTATTCTATTTTATGAACAAATATACATACTTTAATATATAGTGAACAATCAAATTCTAGCCATTATAAATTTTATTTAAAGCTTATCTCAATTCACTAAAGTGTGCAACTTCTAGCATTTCACTAATTTCATATAAAACTATCTAATATATTTCATGCATTGTTTTCATTAATTCCATTAATTTTGGTTTAGTCAAATCTTTAGATTATTTTTGTTTAAAATCATGATCCACCTTTGATAATAACTTATCTAATTTAGCTATTTTTTAAATATCCAAACCTCCAGCAAATTGATTATCAATATCTGAAAATCTAGCTTCAGCCATTAAAATAGATTATAAAAATTATAAATATTATTATTTACTATGTCTAAACTATTTAAATACAAAAAAGTTGGAAACAGTATGATGGTAATAACAAAAGATTCTATTGAATTGATGGAACAATTAAGAACAGAACATACTAATCTTTGCAAGTCCATATCTGAATTAGATATGAAAAGATAATTAATAGAGGATAAAATGAGAGAATTATCTATCAAGTTAAATTCCTTTTACTAACATAGCGATTAACCATATATCCCTAAGTTAATTTATAAATTTCCTTGTGATTCCCAATAAGATTAAAGAACAATAGATGATGAAGAAGTAATCTTTCAAATTAATGACTATTAAGAATTTATTCCTGATTTTTAAGAAAATGATACAAAAACTAAAAAAGAATTATTCAATTATTTTAATTACAAATAAGATGAAAAAGATGTATTTAATGATCTTAATAATACAAATAATCTTAAAAAACTTGCAGAAGAATTTGGAATTAAATCAAATAATATCAATAAAATGAAATAACAAATTAAGATAATTTAGAATTATTTAGAAAACTAATCATTTCCATCTTCATGGAATAATATTTATAATACAGAATTATTCGATAAATTAGAAATTTGATTTATTTATCATAACTAGTTATAAAATAATTATAATTCAATTCTTTCTATGTAAATCTATCTTCTCTCCCCATCTTTTCTCAAGTCTTTCTAAATTTGCAACAGTTTCATCATATTTTCTTTTTAATATTTGATATTCTTCATTTCTTTCTGATAATTCTCTTGATTTTCTATTCATTTCATTAGACAAACCATTTATTTTTTATTATAAACTTAAATTTTCTCTGGATAGATTTTCTAAAGCAATCTAAAGATCTTATTGTCTCAAAACTGATCCTATAAATTTATAAATTTAAATAAGTACTCCTACTATCATCTGTAATTTTCTTGCTTTATAATTCTCTCCTCATTTCCTCCAAATTTTAATGTAATTAATCTGTTTCTTCTTTTCTCTTTTTTAACATCTCACTTAAATGTTATTATTCTTATCTAGATTAATTTAATTCATTTTTATAATTAGAAATTGTAGCTTAATGTTAATTTAATAACATTCCTTATCTTAATAATTCTTCTTAAATATTAAAATTATTGCTTCTCACCTTCTCAACTTCTGATTTTAGAGATTCTATTTAATCATTTTTACTTTATAGTTCTACTTAGAGTTATTATTCACGTTAATCATAATCAAATGAGGAAAGTGCATTTCTCTTATCTAACATTTTAATTTGTTATTCCATAGTTTATTTTAAGTCTATAATTTCTTATTCTTTAACTTATAAAAGTTCTTCTTATTATAACCTAACATTTTTTAATCTTCTTTCAAGATCATTTACATTTTCTTAACAAACTTTCTTTTAGACTTCATATTAATCTCTCATACCACCCATTTCTTCAATTAATTCATTAAGTTATCTTTCTTTTTCTTATGTTTTTCTTGCTTATAATGATATCATCTCATTTAATTCTGTTACTTGATATTTCATTTCTGATTTTAAAGCTTACATTTGTTTTTCAAGTTTTTCATATTCTACTCTAATTTGTTATTCATTCTATTTTAAACCATCGATTTGTTATAGTAATTATTATTATAATGATGTTTATTACTATAATTACTAATTCATTTAATCATACTATGTTTAAAGCTAATAATTTCTATCAGTAGATTTCTTTAATTCACTTTTTGTAAAGGCTAATTCTTAATTTAATGAATCAAGTTTTTTTTCAGTATTCCTCAATTCTTCTTACAATTTACCTTTTCTTAAATCAATTTATTTAAACTCATCTAAAAGTTTTTAATAATCTTATTTTGCCATCTAAACCTTTTCTTCTGTTCCCTTTAATAATTAATTTAAATTATTAATTTAATTTCTACATTCTCTTTCTTACTCATTTTTTTATTTAGATAAATTGGATAATTCATTTTCTTTATTTTATAACCCATTCTTTAATTATTCATTTATTATTTCAAGATTATGACATATTTAAATAGATTATTCTTCAGAAATACTCTTTTCTTTTAGAATTGATTTAATTTTGTCTTCCAATTTCTAAATCATATCATTTTTGCTATCAATAACTTTAGTATCAACTTAATTATGAGCCATTTCAGCTTTTAAATTATCATTTTCTATTTATAATTAAAGTAATTTTAATTCCAACTATTCAGATTATTTGGTAGTACTAGAATGAATTGATTTAAGAATTAATGGTGACTTAGGAATTTCTTTTTAATTATTCTTTTCTGCTAATAATTACTTATATTTAATTTCTAATTAATCTAATTCATTTTAGAGTTATTAATTTTTCATTTTATAATTATTAATATCATCTATTTATACTCTATTATTAGTTTATGTTGATAAATTCTTAAAACTTTCATATTAGATACATTTATTTTTAAGTTCTTCATTTTCTTTTTAATTGATTTGAAGACACTCAAATACTCTATTGAATTCTTTATTAGCTTAATTAGCCTTTTCTTCAGCTAATTATTTCTTTTTAATCTCTTCAGTTACTTTTTATTCTTATTCAATTAAATTTTTATTTAACTAATAATTATAATTATTATTATATTACTTTTTAATTCTCTTAAACTAATGCAGTCATTTTAGTTTATAATTATTCAAGAATATTTTTTAATTTATTATAATCTTCAGCCATTGTAGAAATTTTAGAATCATTATCAACAGGTTCATTATTAGAAATTTCTTCTAGTTTTCTAAAATTTGCTAAAATTTCAATCATTTTATCATTAATTTAATCTGGTAATTTATTATCACCCATCATCTTCTATATAGATGACATTAATTCTCTTAAAGCTCCAGAAATTCTAAATATTTCAGTTTATATCTTAGATTTTGATTATATAAGATTAATATTTTATGAAGATAATCTACTGTTACCAACAGTTGGATGATTATCTATTAATGGTGATTTTGTTTAAAATTATTAATAGTTTTCTTTAGAATCAATAAGAGTTGTTCCATCTTTTTTAGAAGTATTACTTTTTCTTTCTGTTATTTATTCTTTATTTGCATCACTTTAAAAAGTTCCAGCAAAAGTCTTGTTATATTCATACTTATAAGTTTCATATTATGGTTTAAATTCATTCTAAGATTTAATGATTTCTTATTGATTATGTGGTTTAAAAATATCATTTGTTGATCCATTTTTAATACTAGGTTTGTATTGATAGGAATTATCTAATTTTTAAGGAGGAGAAGGTTAAATGATAACATTATTTTAACTTACTTATTTAGCATCAAATTAAGGTGATTACATGTATGGTGATGGTCCATATTGCTAGATCTTTGCTTATGATTATGTTTTTGGGCAATAGATTTATTTATCTGGAGATTACATAGAAAAATTTCCCATATCTTTGGATACAGAGAATTGTCTATTCATTGCTGAAATTTGGGTTGGCTTCTATACACTTTTCATTATATGCTGTTAAATAACTTTATTTATTTTTCTGTTAAAATTAATATATTATTATTTTACTATTATTAAAGTAAATACTAAATTCCTACATTTTTTATTCTAATTTTATTATATGATTATATATATATATATATGATATTCGTATATAGTATGAAGTATTTAAACCTATCAAATAGATTCCATAATTGTTAATTAAAGAATTATAAATAATGATTTATGAATAAAAGTAAACTTCTTAGAGTTTTGAGATCTTTCTAGAAAATGCAATTAGAATAGATCAATAAATATATATGCAAGACACATTATAAGCATTAGGTTAAACAATATCTTTAGCCAACTTAAAAGGTAATTTATATCCATTTGGATCATTTTGTAATGGATTTCAAGGGACTAATAGTGATTTAGATTGTGTGTTTATAACAGATTCAGATAAAGATGTTTAAACGATTTTAAGAAATCTTCGGTCTGCTGTGAAATAATACAAAAAAACAAAATAGACACCTTAATTAAGCTTTGTTGAATTGATTTTATATGCAAAAGTAAATAACTTCATTTATAGTAAGGTACCATTAATTAAGATCCTAGACATTACTAATAATGTAGCTATTGACTTAAGTATCAATAATATAAATGGAGTATTAAATTCTAAGCTTTTAAATGAATATTCTTAAATGCATCCTAAAATTCAATAGTTAGGATAATTATTAAAATTATGGGGAAAAAATTAATGTCTTATAGTGACTGGGTAATTAACATCTTATGCCATTTTATTAACAATGATCCATTTTTTGTAATGTAAATACGATGTGCCATACTTATCAGATATTAACCTTACTAAGGAATAGTTATCAGCCTTAGAAAATTTTGGTGTTCAACCGTTCTTTAATTTAGGAGTCAAACCTAATTTGGAAAGACTTTCAAATACAACTCTATAATAATTATTATTTGAGTACTTTTAATATTATGAACCAAATGGAGAATTTGAAAAGAAATAAATTTGCGTTTCTATTCATTCTTTTTAAAGACCTAACAAAGATAATAAGAAAAGAACATTAAAAATTATTGATCCTATTGATCCAAGAATTGATCCAAGTAAAAATATCAAAAACAAATGTTATCGAATACAATAACATTTTTTAAGAGCCAAAGAATTGATATCAAATCATCAAAATCAATTTCTATATCAATTATAAGCTGTTAAAAATGGAAATCATCGTTAAGGATATTAATATTATGAAAAAAGGGAAAAATAATCTAAGAAAAATTAATTTAGAAAAAGACGTTTATGAGAATCTTAAGGGTATGCATATAATAATAATATTAATAAAATTATACTTATAAATTATTATAGAGAAATATATTCTATAATATTTTTTTATTATATAATTTGTATATTTATTTGATGGAATATAACTACAGCTAAGATTTTGAGGATTAATTGCTGAATTTAATAAATTAGGAAATACCTAATATTTTATACTTATCTTTAGACGCATTAGCAACGGCTCTAAAAATGACAAAATTAAAAGGCAATTTATATCCATTTGGTTCATTTTGTAATGGATTTGAAAGCGAAATTAAAGATTTAGATTGTGTATTCTTAACACCTTGTGATGATAAACCTACAAGTTTATTAAGATAGGTTCAAGCAGGCATTAGAGCCTATAATGAACAAAATCTTATACCTTCATTGAAAATTAATGCATTTATATCTCATGCTAAGGTATGATCAAATATACTTAAAAAGGTTCCGATTATTAAATTGGTTGATACTACAAATAATGTTGAAATAGATTTGAGTGTTAATAACATAAATGGTATTGCTAATTCAAAATTACTGTATGAATATTCATAACTACATCCTAAAATCAAATAGATGGGACTATTATTAAAATTATGGGGTAAAAGAAATAGATTAATAAAAACTGGTTCTTTATCATCTTATGGAATGATTATATTCATGATACACTTTTTGTAAGAAAAATATAAAGTACCTTATTTATCTGATATTAAATTAACTGCATAACATTTAAAGAATTTAGAACAGTTAGAAAACAACCCCTATTTTCGAATAGGTTTAAAAGTTGATTTACCTGAACTCACATAAGCTTCTTTATA